TTAAATCCAAAACAAAAATTTGAATTAAATTTAGGAACTTCAAAAAATATTGATTGACATATCAAATCTATCCAAATTGTTTTTAAATTTGAATGGAGCGCTTTGAAAATTATTCTTCTTCACCATTTAAAACTAAGTATGTATTAAGAAGTTAATAGTTGAAAATATGTAAGTATTTAAACATCTATAATAGAAAATAAGTTAGAAAAGTCAAATTATGGAGTCTTAGTTTATAGGAAACGGTTTGGTTATTAAAAAATTATCGCTTTAATTCACAAAAAAATCTATAGTTTTAAAAATAATATCCGGAATTCGTTTTAACCAATAAAAATTAGTAATAATTAAGACATTTTTCTTCCTTTTTTCAGTTAGCCAAATGAATTACTATGATAGACGACACTTCTTGACTCATCTTAACAACAATGTGATTCAATTGACATTTTGCGATACTAACACCTGAAAAGTAAAATGTACTATGTTTCCGTATTGTTTTTTTTATCATATACACCTGAGCTTTTAATTTGTCCAAACCTACATATATAAAATAAAATAATTATAATAATAAAAACTTTAACGACAAAAGCTATAAAATTTTTTTTTTTGTATTTTTTATTATAAATAAATGGAAAAACCAAGTTATTTTAAAATTTAAATTATGATATGCCCATTTTTTATGAATTAACGGCAGAACATTATGAGGATAATAAGAAGCATTGTTATAAAAAAAACGTACTTTGATTAATTTAATTTTACTGGACTTTGAACAAAGACTCAACCAACACCTTTCGATCAAAATACCAACAACTATCCATCGCAGTTACATTTTGTCGCGTTAAAATATTTATAGATTCTATTGCACATAAACAAATTTATTATTTTTTTCAAAAAAAATTTTTTTCAAAATATGAAATCGAGATCATTTCAACATGAAAAATCTCAAACTTTAAACAAAGCTGATAAAAAACATTAGTACGAGGTGCTTCCGTTCCATGTGCATCTATAACTTCGATTGTTCTACAAAAATCTTCTCGAATTTCTCAATTTCCAACGTCCTTAATAACCCACAAAAATCTGTTCTCATTAATTAATTTTTACACTTTTGGAAAAATGAGGTCATTGTTAAATTAAAAATCGTGTGATTCCAAAATTTGAAAAGGTTTGAAAGATGAAATTGACCTAAATTTTCAAAATTGCATAATTAATATTTCTAACTTCCCCAGAAATGAAGCTATCAAAATTTTAGCCCGTTACTCTCTACACAAAATTAGAAACGATGCAAGAATTTTGCTTAATCATAAGAGTTTATGAACTGGTGTATAACAGTGCAAATAGAAGAAAAATACCCAATATAAACAAAAACAAAAAAAACGTGATATATGATTAAAGTTTTGTCGTCATATTGTGGTTAAACTTTCCAAATTTCAAAGCTTGAAAAAATATTTTTTTTTACAATAATTAATTATTATATAGTAAATCTGTGTGTAGAGAATGCAAAGAAAATAAAAATATAATACTTACTTTATTAGAATTGGTTCTGACTAATTCAATGACGATAATTTTAAAAAGAAAATTAATAATAAAAAAAAACCTTTTAACTTAAAAAAATTTAAGCACTCGCAACCTCACATTGGGCTTCCTTAAATAAATATGTACATACATACATACATATGTACATATATGTATACACCTGTTATTTTATTTTAAAATATGGTTATAAAAATCCAGAAATAATCATGAAATTCAATATATGTACCTATGTATATAATACTTAGATAATATTATATATTTTTTATTTTATCGACTGAGAAATACAAGAAAATTGCTGTACGTCTGGAACTTCAATTTTCCTTTATTACTTATTGAAAATAATTTAACATGTAAGATTTGACATACCGTAACTTCAACAATGCAGTAGTACGTAACTAATATACAATGGTACATTTATACTAAATTGTGCATAGCAATACATAATCTTTGAATTTTTAAAGTCACTGACAAGTGTACATTGATATAGTATTTTTGCTATTCTGAAACTAGGAATGCTAAAGTGTCATTTCCTCAATATTAATTATATGTATTATACATATATATATGTATTAAAATAATACATATATAAATATATATATAAATATATATATATATATATATATATATATATATATATATATACATATATATATATATATATATATATGAATTATTTTAAATTAGGGGAGATTTTTAATAATTATGTCCTAATTTAGATCTTAAATACAATGCGCATTCGGTAAATCTAAACTACAAAACCTGCAAAAATAGCATGTTTGAAAATGGCAGTTGCGTTTAAAGTTCTAAAGGAATTACTTAATCAAGAACTTTCAGTGTATGTATCTAATTATCGAAATCTTCCGTTACTCATTGAAAGTACTTATTGTGTAAAAGTATTTCAAACGCACTGCGAAATTTCCAAATCAAATAAGATGTTTGTGAATGTGTTGTGTTTCTAATAATCCTGCTATGTTATCTTGATCCTAAAACCAATTTAAACCAAATTTTAATCGCCCTAAAGCTTTAAGAAATATATTTGCAATTTAATTAAATTATAAAAGAAATTAAGTATGTATGTGTAAGTAAGTATGTATGTATGTAAATAAATGCATATAATTATAGAAACTTCAAAAATGATAAAACTAAATTAAGAGTCATAAATTTTTATTGGAAAACCCAAAAAATGAGAAATTTTACGAATGTGTTTTTAATTTATATGTGCCTGTGTATGTCTACATACATATGTATCTATATAGGTATGTAAGTATGAATATGATTAAAATTGAATTGATAAATATTCATAATTCTATGACATAATTAAAAAAAAAAGAAAACCTTGAATATTTAGGAAATTCAATAAGCTATTATAAAAAAAATTTATTAAAAAAATATACCTACATATGTACATAATAAATTAATAAATGTGTACATAAGTAGTCTGGTATGTATACGTTTTCACACATTCACGAGTTTATAAGTAAACAGATTAAAGTTAAAAATTATTTCAAATTTTTAAGATTTTCAAATATGTTCTTTAAAAAGCTACAATATTTATAGATATTTAATGAACCTTATAATTAAAAAAATTCGAACCTAAAATAATTTGAAGGTTACGCACTTTATATTAATTTTTTTATTAAAAGTAAACTATAAATAAAATAATAACTATGTTAAAGCTCTATGAACGGTTAAGATTCATACAAAAGATATTAGTTCAAGGTTTAGTAAATTAAATTACTTAGTGCATAAATAAAAAATAAAAGTTCAAAATACATATGTATATGTACGAGTATGTATGTATATGTACAAGCTAATTACAATTTAATTTTCCTATTTGATTAAGAAAAGTAGAAATTCCCATATAATAGAAATTATATTTATTTAAGTCTTTCTTTTTCAAAAATTTAGTTTTATTAACCAAATTTAACAGTTGCAGTGAGTAAACTTGAACTCTTCCTCCTTGCTCTAGATATATTCACATTAAAAACTATGTATCAAAAACTTCCGACGCGTTCTTGTAAATTTGTTATTTTGGAAGTTAGACCTTTTTTTATACAAATCTACAATCTAAGATTGGACTTGAAATATGTATGTATGTAAAATGTTAGAAAAAGCTAGTTTTAAAATTATTTTAAATACACAACTCGTATAAATATAGTACCTAAACAAAATGCATTTACCTTTGGTATTTACGGTTACTTCGGGTCAAGAGAACTTTAGTAGAAGCCCTTTTAGTTTACCGTCGATCGATTCGAATCGACCTGCTCCTTGACACAAGCCAGCACAATACATATTGAGGTCGTAAAGAGTAGTGTCAAAAATTATTTAACCTTAAACACCTTAACCATTTTGACATAAATTTTGGCATTCATAATAACGTTCCAAATATTAAATATGTATGTATGAACATATATGTACATATGTACGTTAGTAATCTATAAAAAAAAATACTTCAAAAAGATTGACAGGTGTAGTTTTTAACCATGTACGTCTATATTACTCGCCATAAACATAGGTACGTAAAGTACATACATGTATGTACATATGTATGTGGATCAAAAAATTTTTCAGTTTTTTTGAAAGAATTCTAAAATTCCTCACAAAAATTAAGACTTTTTCCACAACTTACCTATATAATTTTTATATAAAAATTAAATTTGTAAAGCAGATAAATGTGTATGCTTATGCCGTTCTTTTCACATAATATATGAATGTATGTACATCTTTTTCCCATATCCCATAATTCATATTTAAAATCAAATCTTGTTTCATTCTGCGCAAGTTCACAAAATAGAGTGGCGAAGCGCAGATAATAATTTCAAGTATATACATATGTAATTATTAACTGAAAATAATTTTTTTATAAACTTTCAACAAGTTTGATATTTTATCTTTATTTAATTTTATGATTTTTACGGGTTTACAGTTTTTAGTAGTAGATGCATATATATATATATATATATATATATATATATATATGTATATATATATATGTACATATTATATACTTTTCTACATTATATATATATTATTAAAAATGTGTAACCTAAATTTATTATGTCAAAACTTATTCCTAAAATTTCTACTATTTGAAATACAATTTTTCAAACTTTATTTAAATGTCAATGTTAATGAAAGTAGGCAAGTAATATTTTAAATATTATTTATAATTATAGCCTCGCCACTGATAAAAAAAGTCTACTTTATTTTCTGTGTATAAAAAAATTGACATCTGTCACTACATATGTTTTATCAGAATGTCATATGTCAGGTATTGGAACATTTTTTTTTAACCTAAATATTTTACGTATTATAATTGTATGATATTTTTAAATATTATTAGATGATTATTACTTTATTCAAGAGAATGCAACATCTGGTATTTTAACTAGAAAATTAGTCTGAATACTTACAAATTCCATTCTAAAAATTCTTTGTCGTTCATTATATTACATATTGATACTAACAAAACATTTGCACCAACAAAAATATTTATTGAAAATTAAATTAAAAATTAGTTAATTTACAAGAACAGTTAAGTAAGAATTATCAATACTTGATTCTGTATCGCTTAAATCACTTTCACTTTCATATATTTCTGGTTCTGCACCGAGTTTCTCCAAATCATTTTGCAATGTTTGATTTCTTAGCATATAAGAGAACTGAAAAGCTGTTATTCCTGCATATGTACGAATTTTTAAATTTAAGTTACATTTAAGACCTTCGCCTAATAGAAAATTAATCATTTCTTCATTTTTTCGTTCTATAGCTATATGTAAAATTGTGCGGCCAGATTTCCCTTCACGTGCATTAATATCTGCTCCACACTCAAGTAATTGGCGTAAAATTTGAATAAAACTTCCTTGAGCTGCTAAATGTATACATCGTTCTCCATCATAGTTTCTTATTTCTAAAGAATTATTAGTACATAACATGTTTTTTAGCGGTTCATTATTTTTATGGCGCTTTAAATGTATTTCCGTTTCTTTTAATTCACTCTCGTTTATTTTATCTGTCAAAGCCTTAACACATTTAAAAGTTCCCAAACTACATGCTAGATGCAATGGTGTATTTCCGTTATGATCTTGAATAGCAGGATCAGCACCAGAAATTAATAGCAATCTAATAATTTTAGGTTGATCTGCGATTGCAGCGATATGTAGTGCAGTTTGAGCATCATCGTTTTGTATATCCAATAGACACGGATGTGGAACCATACGGATAAGCGCAGCTACAACTTCTTCATTACCCATTAAACAAGCCCAGTGTAATTTTGTATCACCATTGTCATCTTGTTGAAAATAAATTTCCCATTTATCTTTCTTTGATTTATTTTCAATATTTTTACTTTCTTCTGATGTTTTGATATTTAGATTACAAAATTGTTCTGTTAATGTACTGTCAATATTTTTTTCAAGTGCATCAATATAACCTGAATCCATTTCTTCTTGGTGACATTTTATATTTTTATCTGATGTTTTTGGTGTTGGTCGAATATCTGTCACTTCAATTATATGATTTGAACCGGATAAAAATCCTGAATCTGATTCGTTTTCATTGCTTAATAATTTTTCAGTACTTTTTATTTCAGATTTTTTATTTTGATTCATTTTTTTCTAGTTTATTTTAATTAAAACCACGTTTTCAAAATATTTTAAACTCCACCAATTCCAAACAAAAAATTGAAATCTGATCAAAATGAAAAACTCTACTGAGTTTCTTAACACGCAAATAATAAATCTATTTTGTTATATGCAGTAAGCATTAAATATTTTGTTTATAAAAATGTGAATATATAAATTTATATTTCTTTAATGTCTTTGTTTACAGCAAATACATATAACTTTTGTGTTGTATAATATGAAAATGAAACGCGAAAACACTTTGAATAAAATTTATTAAAAATAATACTAGATTCAGACTGCTGCTAACGATAGCGAAACACTCGACGGCAGATAAGCAATCGATTCTGTTTGAAAAAAATAAAAAATATTTTGTATATGGATACGAAGCGATGTGCTTTTTATTATTGTATTGAATAAAAAAAAGTTATAATACAAACACATGCTTACGTATACATGATTAACAGGTTTCTAGGGAATTTTTGTTTGCAGAAATATATATTTTTAGTGGGATAATTTAAAATTAATCTGTCACACAAAGGCAGACGAATGAACAAGGTGCTTTAAAATATCAAATGTATAATTAAAAAAAAATTTTGTTCCGTATATTATGAAATTTACATACATAAATAATACATATGTTTAATACAACAAATCAAATTCGTACAATCGTTTGTGTATAAACTTGGAATGAGTAATATAAATTAGGGACTTTCCAAAAAACCAAAAATAAAATATGGAATTTTTCTTATTAAATTATTTACTAATATGTGTTTCTTTTGTCTTAAAAAAAAAAAAAAAACAAAAAGTGAACCTAACAAAAATTAGTGAATTGCATTGCAATAATTTCGTACATGATAGACATAATATCGTAAATTGTTACACATTTTACATGTACAAAAGTATTGAATTTATTTTGCACTGGGATGCAATTTCATATTTTTTTTTTTGATTTCTAATGGTACTATAGCAAAATTTTAAATTTTTTGCTTACAAAATATATTTTTAGAGAGGTTATGTTCAGACATTAGAATTTAGAATAATGTATGTATTCATTTATTATATATATAGTACGTACACAAACCAATTCTCACAAATCTGTATTAAATACCGTAACAATGTGTGAGTTACGTAAAAATTGCATGTGAATCTATAATTGAGGCATATTTATATATTACTCTGAAAAGAGTTATTATTTTTTACCTTTTTGAATTGGAGAGTGTAAATATTTTTGTTATACATTTTTATTTTACATATGTATATGTAAAATAAAATGTTCAAAAAAGTTTTTATAAATATGTATCGGTCTCTTTTTTATTTCGTGTGTAAAGTTGTTATTCTTGCGCTCTCTCATTGTCATTGCTTATATTTTCATTATTTCAGAACGCAATAATATGTATGAACTATTTGACATGATGAGTAGGTAATACATACTTAATACAATATGTATGTTTGTATTACATTTTCGATTTCGATGTAAGAGAAGTTGACTGAATAGGTCAAGTGATTTTCAATAAATTAAATTTTATTATGTTAATTTTATGCTATTATGCTATTTTATGCTATTGGTTAAATTACTAGTAATTAGTTAAATCTGTATTGTAAATGAATTATTCTTTCTTTAGATAAACATTTGAATAAGGAAAAATTTGTAAGGGTGTAAGCACAGGTTCGCTGAATTCTTTACTCACTTTACGTTCTTTGCTTCAGGCATAATTTTAGTTAAGGTTATGTTTTTTTATATTTTGGGTACGCAAGAAAATATGCAGGAATAATTTGGCACCTTTTCAGCCCCCCACTCATACAATTTTTTGCTGGAAATTGGTTTAAGAATCATCCCTGAAATTATTTGCCACCTTATGCGACACACTCTGTATATCCGATCGTGTATTTTGCTCAAGTTCTAAAAAGTATATTAACATAAGTATGTACGTTACGTGTAATCTAGAAGTCTAGAGATTCATGAAACTTAAATATTGTCTTTTGTGATCCCCATAACAGCGACAACACAAAAAAGACTACAAGCTCTCTCTCTTTCCTAATGATCAAAACTATATTTTTTTAAATTTACAAATATTTTTTTGAATAATACAGTATAAATACAAATATTCATACATATGCAACGGATCATTAATACAAAAAAGAAAATTTTAATAAATGTATATACATATAGGTGTATACATATAAATGTATATACATATGTATGTATGTCTGTACATAATTTAAAGATGATGTCACTCTTTTTTGTTAAATAAATATTATTTACGACTTAAATCAATGTAATGTTAACAAAGTGTATTATAATTTTTAATACCTATGTATGTATGTACATATTTTTTAGATGGATATTTATACATATAATTTCATTAAGGTTCTCAAATACAGTATTATGTTGATTAGTAAATACTCACACTTATTACATTTTTATATAAAAAATTATTAATACGGAAATACAATAGTATTGACAATTCCGTATGTAATATACAAAATGTAATATAATGTAATATGTACTTACATAATATGAACATTACGGCAATAGACACAACTAGTATGTTCCCTTTGACGTATAGAGCTCATACCAACCGATAATCAAACCTTAATCTAAAAGCCTCACCTAATCAAGAGAGTGGTTAAGAATTTAACTGTGAACTTTTTTAGGAATTTGAGCTTTTACGGATATGTGACTTCATTTTTTTTCATGTAAAATAAATGTGTAATTTACAAAACGAATATAACACAATTTTCAGGAGAAACGTTACATAGGCAAGTTGCCAACTGTTAAGCAAATTTTTCTACTTCTTTGATTTTGGATTTAGACATTTGTGAAGAAGTTGTGAGCTTGCGATTCTATGAATGTGACATGTAATTCCAGAAGAAGGGTTATAAAAAAATTAAAAATCATACTGCTGTAATAAAAATTGGTAAGAGAAAAAATTTTATTTTTGTTTATTTAGAGAATTTCTGTAAGAAAAGACAAATTATCCGTCAGTTAACAAAAATGCATTTACATGAACATACATCTCTACATATGCATATTCATATGTACATATTTTTATAATCTATTGTAAAATTTCCATCATACTACATTTTTGCTGAATTTTCAAATAAAACGTATAAATAAAAGATTTCTAACAACAGATCTAAGGCACTCTAGGCTAGATTTATTATACCATTTAAGTATATGGATGGATCTGTATAGCATTCAACCACAAAATATACAGCCGTATACATAAATTATAACACACAATATATTTCATATGTTTTATTATATATTTACGTACATATATATATGATATTATATATATAAAAGTTATACTATATGCATACACATACATATATAATATAAATTTATATATTTCAGTGTATTTAATTGAAACCATATACACATATCTATATACATTATGTACGTATATGCATTCATACATCCATTTTTATTTTTTACTCATTTGCCTATAAGTATTCATTTTTATTTACGAATGTATAATAAATGTATACAATCATTGAGTAAAGATATAACAAATCTATAGTACAAACAAGCATGTGAAAATGAAATAAAAACATTTTACTATACAAAAATAAAATTTTATCTGAAAGGGAAATAATCTAATGCAAGGCCCTGAAACGAAAATTTCAGTGTTAAAAGGTTCTGCGAACGTGAAACAACTATACTAGAAAATTAAAGCTGCTTTTCTCTTTGCCGTTATTTTTTTCTTCTTTTTATTGGAAATAAAATTAAGAAAATAAAACAAAATGGAAAAGTAAATAAAAATTTCGCTCGAGGCTTGTTTGACGGTAAAAATATCTAAGTACACACACACTATACATATGTACATCCATATATACATGCATACGCACTTATATTATATACATATAATTAGTATATATAATAAATATACATAATTTTATATATAACATAATTTTACACAAATATAAAGTATGTACTCGTGTATATAACAGAATATAAAAAATGAAAATCACTGAAATGCTATGCTGCTAACCTAAATGCTTTCGAAAGTTTTCTAAAAAAAGAAAAAAAACTTTGAAATTTCGTGTAGGATATTTTATACTTGATCAAAACTATCTCTAAAATTTTGAAAATGTAAACATAAACGTATGTATATGTATGTATGAAAGTATATTGAACATGATTGCATGAGATAGTTTTTATTGATATTCACACATAATATGCACATTATTTTTAGTTTGCAGTCATATGCAATTATAGGTGAACGTCACTGTATATATATATTTATGTACATATTTGCATGTTTATTTACATTCTTCAATTTACTTTATCTAATACGCTTTTACGTACATACATACAATACCTATTTACATATATAAACAAACATCCATTTACCTATGAGAAAAACTGCAATCTGTTAGGTTAATATCACATCAAATCTTGTGAAAAGGGATGCATCTTGAAAAACACGATTGGAAACTCAAAGTTTGTTCTCTTTTTGGACTAAGCATATTTTTACTTTACCTAAAACATTAAGATATCCATAAAGTTTTTCTCAATGGTTTTTTTATATTGAGTTTATAGACAAGAGAGTGTGAAATGAACTCTAAAGTGTAAACAGACCAATTAAGCAAATAAATACAATTATATTAATGGGAGAGTTATACGAGTACTAGCAAATTGGAAATTGACATCTAACAATAGTATAGCAAACTTAACCCATGCAGTACTGTCAGTACCGCGACAAAAGAAAAAATAGTATCGGGAAAAAAAAATTGATAATTTTGAATAAGTCTAATGTAAAAGTGACAGTTTTGTCATAAATTACTGCACATATATACAAAATATTTTTTGTTTCTACTTGGATATAACTGTATCTATTTGGAACACTGCTTACTACATTTGCTTCAAATTTAGCTTGGCCACGAAGATACGAAAATCTGCTAACATGTCGAATTTGTCTACATTTGAAAATTTTGCTAAAATATGGATACATTTATTTCTCAAACATTAAATAAATACAAAACTTTTAAAATGCTGCTAATATTAAATCGCGAAATGGCTTTATCTTCAAAAAATGTCATTTGCTAGTTTTTCTAAGCAGATTTCCGAATTTATAAGAAGAAAGTAAGAAAGATACTTTATTAAATGAGTACTAACTCTTCCTGTATTCATATCTACAACACAAGAACGTACCAGAAATATTTTGTGTAAGCTAGGTGTAATAGAAAATGCATTGGCTGAAGATATTTTTTAAAATTTGTCCGTTTTCATGGTGAATCGTCTTTATCGCATAATTCTACAACTACGGAACATATACTATGATTTTCTCACCTTAATTTTTACATTTAAAATGTAATAGAAGTTGTATATGATTTCTTAAAGAATTCTATAAATAACAAATCTCACATTGTGGAATAAAGCAAATTAGTATTAATTATGGGTTAATTTGTACAAAATAAAATGACTTAGTATAAAAATTCTGCTTTAAGAGGTTGGATACATTTTAGACATTTTTTTTCTCGAAATACGAACCATTTCGTTTTTACCGAATGAGAACACTGGTAATACGTTCGTCGTACATCGAAATTTTACTTAACGCAGAAGTGACATTTCAAATTCAACAAATTTGACAAATCGATGACCAGCGGTGAGATAAGACACTAATTTTAGATTTAAAAATTTAAAAGCAGGTTTTTTTATCAATTTATATGTTTACACTTTTGTGACTCTAATTGGTTTTTCAATCTTCTTGGTTTCTTTTCTTACTATGTACTTTATTAAAAAAATTAGAGAATTAATCAATTGAAAAAAATATGTATATCGTATAAATATTTATTTTTGAAATATGTACTAAAATTATAAAATTCTAAATTTCGAAGTTTTTTAGTAACATTTTTGAAAAAGTTAATTGTGTTGAAATTTAAAATTTCCTTATAAACATGTATGTTATTTTGGAAGATAGATAAATAACGTGCATAAATGCAATATGTTATTTTGGAAGATAGATAAATGACGTGCTGTTATTTTGGAAGGTAATATTACGTTTTTAAGAGTGTATATTAATGAATTCATGTTTAGTTAAAAATTAAAGATGTGTCGTTTAAACTCTGACCAAATTTGCTTTGGAAATGATATTTAAAAAAAATGTTCATAATACATGCATAACTAAAAAATTTTAAACATTAAACAAGGCATAATAGTATGTTCAAAACAAATTAGGACATAAAAACAGATCAAAATGTACAATTTGTACTTTTTAAAATATATTATTTGAAATTTTAATGTTATAATAAAATTCGAACTAAATTTTAGAAATAATTGTCGGCTGAATGGAAAATATTTTTTGGAAGTTCTAGTTAAAGTAAATTTTAGATAATTATAAAAAAATATAATAGTGAAATTAAAATGGTTTGTAATCAATCATATCGTCGGCAAAACTGTGATACCACGTAAGTGCAAATATTTCCAAAAGTACTTTACCAATTTTCTGTTTAGGAAATGTCAAACAATCCATCTTTTAAATTTATGAAAATATGAAAATTATTTAAAGAATATGTAATTATTTATTAGTTTTTACTGTTTCGTAAATTTTAAAGATTGACTGTTTGAGATTTCATAAACAGAAAATTGATAAAGTACTTTTGGAAATATTTGCACTTACGAGGTATCACAGTTTTGCCGACGATATGTAATTAAAATTATTTAATTTAACTTGGTAATGACATAACGATCACACTTTTTGCATATAATAATCATGTTTTCAGACCATTTCATTTGTTGCAGAATGAAATTAGTTATATTTCATTTTCAATTTGTATTCTTATTAGTTTTTTTGTCAAAATGCCATTCATATGAAAGTGTTTGTGTTTATGTCTAATTCTAATTTGTTAAATGGTTGGTTTCGATTTTGGTGTCATCTGAGCAATTCAGCTAAAAACTATTTAGTTATTTTAAGTATGTTATTTTAAATATTCGATAATTAAGGAATTATAAAAAAAATTAATAACATACAAACATACTTAAATTATTGAAACAAGTTTGATTGAAAAAATTATGAAACAATGCTAAAATAATATTAACGCTATTATATCACATTGTAAAAATACTACGTTTACATATATTTTTTTTAAACGTCTTATTAAATTTTGGTTTTAAATTTTATATTAAACTTTCATAAAATAGCCATATTTATTTATTCTTATATAAATTTTATAAAATAATATAAAATATAAATGAAAATTTTGTGATTAAAATATTATATTGGAAAATATGGGAAGGAACAAAATTTTCTTTAATTTGACGGACGTATGGCTGTTCTGACTTTTATGGTGACACATATGGAATTGGTACAAAATGTTGGTGTTTTCATAAGAAAAAAAAAGTTAAATTTTATTGAAAAATAATACATATTAATAAGGATATTAATTAAAAATATTTAAATTTAATTTTTATATAATACACATATATTTTTAGATATTACAAAGTGGAATATTGTGAAATAATATATTAAAGTTTATAATTTTGATGTTAAAATCGACTTAAGCATATGTCGTATTAATGACGAAACTCTCTAGAGTGTATGTACGAATGGTGTAATTTGTATGAATACTTGATTTCAAAATTTTAAAAATTAAATAGAAAATGTAAAATAATTTAAAATAAATATAATTTTTCAAAATTTTAAAAAATTTAGAAATTAGTTGAAATCACACATACAAATTACATAAAAAATGAAATATATAATGTCAAGTCAACATTGTTTCAAAATTCTACAGCATATGATTCATTTCAAATTTTGACATTTCACATTTTTTTTATGTACCAATTTCACCAACAATTAAAATAATCACAACCGTCGTGTTAAACGTCAAAATTTTTGAAAGCTTTTTTTTAGTATTTTTTTTTTTAGTTAATGATGTGAAATTCTATTTAAGTATCAAAACATAATTTTTAAACTAATTAAAAGAAAAGATATAAATTTTAAATAAATAATGGATCTGAAGAAAAATTGTTAAAATAAATAAATGTAATAAATATTTCAAGAAAGAAATTGATAGTAAAAAAAAAAAAATATTTTAGTAACAAGGAGAAAAGAAAATTACATATAATCTAAGTTATATTTTTCTAAACTTGAATTATTTTTATACATTTTATTATTATATTATTGTATTGTAGATAAAAAAGAAATTTTAAACAAAGAAGCGTGTATATATACATATATGAAATTAAAAAAACAGCAAGCAAATACAAGCAGCAACAACAAGATATATAAAATATAATAGATATAAAATAAATTTTATTAAATTATATACATATTTAAATATAAATCTATCAAAAGCAAAAGAAAAAACACTAGAAAAGCTAATTTGTGCTATTCAAAATTTAGAGAGTGTACAATTATTTATAATAACTACATATACACATATATATATATTTAAATAATACAATATAAAAGTCGATTTTTTTTATTTTTCCTGTTAAAAAATTTTATTACAAAATAATTTATTTGATTTTTTTTTTAATTACTCATTCGATACGAAATTAAGCTTCATTTAGTATATATATATTCACAAAAGAAAATATTACATATACAACATACCTATATATATATATTTAATATATATATATATAAAATATATCTGTGTTTTAAAAAAGAGAACATTAAATAAGAAAAAGAAAAAAAAACAAATAATACTTTTAGTTTAGTGATTTTGTAGTTGTTTTCTGTTTTTTTTTTTGCAATATTAAATAAAAAAAAAATTTAAAATGGATTCCGATGATGATAGCTTTGATAATAATGTTGATTCTGGTAATGTTTCAACCGGTGACGACGAAGATTTTGCAATGGAAGTTGATGCACCAATTAGAGAACGTAATACAGAAGTTGAAGAATATCAATATGAAGTATTAACAACCGATCAAATTGTTCAATTAATGAATGATCTCATAGCAGAAGTTGTCAATGTCATTAATGTAAGTGGTAGTATAATAATAATTTTTACCTTAACACTATTAAAATTGAATTGGAGGCACAACAAACCCATAGTTAAGTAGTTTTATTATAATTTTTTAAAAAGTTAATTTGTCTATAAGTAGGAAGCTAATAAATATTCATAAGTGAGATATTTTATGTCTTTATCACAGTTCAACTTGCTCTTAGAAACTCATGCTTTCAATATCTAAATTAAATTATTATAAAATATTTTAGCCATCCCATATTTCGTTGTATGATTTTTTATTAATTTGATTCCAGTGTTTAAACAATTGAAAAGTTTTCCACATACCTATAATTCTTTTGAATAAAACAAAACAAGCTCTTTCTCAGTTTTTTATTAAATTTAACTTGGGAAATTGTAGTTTGATCTTATTAGAATATTAGAATTATTTGATTAGAATTATTTGATTTACCTTACTTTTTCTTTTGTTAATCTATTAAATTTTGCGAGGATTGACATCAGAGTTAATAACAATAGTTATAAAATTTTTATATATCTACAGACGTATAGTTATTTGAATATGTACCTATATCTACATATGTATGTATATAATCATTTTTGTGCATTTACGGCAGCACAAGTACAATAAATATTTATTGTGTAGTATAACAAAAATGAAACAAAAATGTAAATATATAATTGAAACCTTGAAAAGAAAAATCTATTTATTTAGAATAAAGAAATAATGTTAGTTATATGTACATATATTGCACAATATGAGTAGATGTTTATATATGTATGTGTTCATATGTATGTCATACATGCCTATGTATTCTATCTTTGAAACAATTCGTTTTGTTTTAATAATTTGATTGGTTTTTACCTTGTGAATCATATTTTCTTTTTTCTTATTTTGTTACTATTGTAAATAAAAATGATAACTAGGGAAATGACGTTAGTAAAACTCTTTTTTTTTGATTTACGAAATATAACTAAACTAAGTAGGGTAGGTATGTAGGAATGTACCTACCCAATAAGGTTTTCAAAATTTTTTAAATAATTTAAAATTGTTAAAATTTTTTTTAGCTTTAGTTTTTTTTGGTATTTTTTTATGACGTACTTATCTATCAGTTTAGTAATTTATTTTTTTTTTGTTTTATTGAAACAATGCCAAAAAAGATTACTCTCTGATAATAAATTTTTCAATCGTTGTTATTATTTTTATTTAATTCATGCGCAACACAAATTTCATACCAACTTATAAAACATTGTTTGTTTGGTTATTTATTTATTTGTTTCATCTTTTTAAAGAAATTCTTTTGCGAACCCTATAAAATAAATTAAAATAAAATTGGCACGTTGTATACTTATGGGCACTTACCGAAATAAAAATAAGAAATTTTATAATGTTAGTGTGTTTGAATATTCAAATTTGCACAAAAAAAAATAAACTTAATTTTATCAATAAATTTTTAAGATATTTTCCTTTAAAATTCCCTTTTAACAGCTGATTATCTTACAAATAACAATGTAAATAGGTAAGGAGGCAGGTATATACCTGTTTAACAGATTTTTTTTTGTTTTGATTATAGTTTCTCAAGATTATTCTTAAAAATATTTTGATTTCATTCTTAAAAATAAAATTAGAACCAAATCTTAAAAATAAAAATCAATGTTACAGTTGTACCTAGTTCACTAAAATTTTCATTTTCACTCTACTTTATACTTAAGACGAAAATTAAATAGGCACCAAACATGACATGACTTCATACAATTTTAGCAGATGAAGATTACTTTCTTTCTGCATCCAAGATTTCATTTGGTAAAAATTAATTAAAAATTTGTTTCTTTAATGTAAGTGTTGTGTTGACATAGTTTAAGTTGACATAGTTTAGTTCATTCATTATTATTTTATTAAAATATGAGAAACAGGGCTCTTAAATTCCAATTATTATTGGAAACTCATCTTTAATAACTATAAAAAATATGTACATTTTCACATAGCTTCTGATTTTATCGGATTGATTTTATCAAAATTACATTGTAGCTCAAAAATTGCTTTCTCAATTATTTACTAAATTTCGGTATTGAGCTTAAAATTTGTCTTAAAAAAGGATTAAATGCACGAACAAAAAAATTGTTTAAATTCGATTGAATTGGATTTTCATCTTCTTTTTTCGTCAAAAGTTAAAATTAACAACTCGATTGTGCATTTCGCTTTTTCTTCTGTCTTTTCATATACTTTTAAACCAGAATTCCCATTTCTTTAATTGCAAAAATTATTTTTCCAATAAGATTAACTTTTTCTTTAAAATACCAACTGGATCTATCATATAACCCTCAAAAACAAATTGAATTAAATTTGTAAGCATATAATTACCTATTTTATAAAAAAAGTGATAAGCAATATGAAAAAATTCTTTTCATCGAAGAATTACATTAGTACATTTTAATAATAATATTCACAAGAGTATTATTAGTCACTAGCTTTCTTCTCATTAGATTGTTACTTACCCACTACTTACCCTAAAATATTACTCAATACATACGTATGTGTAATATGTATGTTATTAATTGCAAATTTATTATTTAAAAAATTAATTTTAAGCCTTTGAATAGCATTTAACAGAAAAAAATTTTTTTTTGTATCATCAAAAACATTGGCATATTGTCCTTGATTTATTGCAGTTTTCAATATTTTTGTTCACATATAGACAGACCTATTATGTATTTTGTGTATTTGTGGCCATTGAAATATTTACGCAAAAATATAAAAATTTTATGTACTTACTTATATACTTATAAGTATATAGATACATTTTATAAGTGTTTGTATATTAAACAACAAATTATTTTATGCTCGTCGTAATACTTAAGTATTTAATAGGTGTGCTTGTTATATAAATGTATGTAGATAACTGTATATAAAATTATTATTAAAAATAACTTTTTTTTTTGTTTATTTTATTTTATTTTCAATAACATTCTTACATTTTTATATTATGTATGGATATGTACATATGTATGTACGTAGGTAGATAGATAGTTAGGTAATTTCGTTTAATATGCTTTAAAGCTGTTGTAAGAATTAAAATAAAATAAAAATATTCGTGTTTATTAATTATTATTGAAAGTATTAAAATTTTTTTTTACCTTGATAATGATTTGCGCTATTACAATTTTGTATTTTTTTCCTGTTAAGTATATTATATACGCAGTTAACAAAAAAAAAGCTTTAAAATACATAATTATTTGCAATTCACAAAACTTCTGTTTTGGTTATAAGATATAAATTAATATATAACTACATTCTTAAAATATATGAGTACAAATATTTTAATATATATATATAATATATATATATATATATATATATATACAAGTAGCTAATAATATTTACTTTTCATATTATGTACTTATACTTATTTTATAATTGCAAAAAAAAAACCATTTAAAATCACCTTAATTTAATTACTTTCTATTTAAATAACATTTTTGTTTCCAAAATAAAATTTTATTTAACTTTTCTTTTTTATGAATTTGGCGAATAAGTAGGTATTTTGAACAAATAAGTCAATAAAAATAAGAACAAATAAAGTTATAAAAAGAGATTAATAGAAAGAGTAAAATAAATAATTATTTTTAAAGTATGTATATAAAGGGGCGGCTTTTTAATAAATTTGGTAAATCAAAAATAAGTTATACTTATATTTTTTTCGGACAAGGTGTTAAATCTTAACAGTTTTTATGTCTCCTGTTAATACTGTCACAAAAAAAAATGAGTGAAAGATAAAATCTGCCTTTCACCAAATTACAAAGCCTAATTACAATAATTTCTTAAAGTTCTTTGATATAAAATCAATGATTAGGTTCACAAAAAAAGTGAATGATAAAAACAATGATGACACACACCTATGGTACAGGAATTTTTAGAAAATTTCACAAAACTTGCTCAAGTTTTTTTTTGCGGAATACAAGTTCTGCTGCAAGAATGGTAGAAGCACAGATTATCATAGAAAGTACACAAATTATAAGTTGATATTAGGTTAATATTTTTAACAACTTTTATTTGTTTATATTTTTTTAATAAATATATTTATATATTTACTAAAAATATACATGTATTTTAAGTAAATATTTGTTTTGAAAGCTTTTTTTTAGAAAATTACATATACAAAAGCTTTTGCCTGCTATTAGTGTGCTTGCTATTAGTTGTTTGGAAATTTTAAATTACTCTTTTTTTAATATCTTTTGCACATGTTAATAAAAGCAATGTACTCAAAAGTTTATTTTTTTTAATGACATATTTGTAGGAGGGGAGCTTAAAACAAAAAAGTTTTAGTAAAGGATTATTTTAAGTTGTTGTACTATAAAATATTACCCTGTTTTATGGGCCAGCATTCGAAACATGAAAAAAATTCAATTTTAAATTTATTTTCCCTGTTGCACCCCTGCAAAAACAATTGGAATTTAATTTTTCTTTGCCATTATAACTGTTCTTAAAAATAATAATTGCCTGAAAAGTAGAAAAAAAAATTTTAGCCTTCGAATTATTTCCTATAAAATTATTGGAATGAAGAAAATTAGATTTAACCAGAAATTTTGGTTTGGAACAATCTAAATTTTTTTTTAAATGTTTCAGGTCAAAATTTTACCCATTTTTGATCTCCTAGAAATGATAATTAACGGTTGAAGCACTTGTTATTTAATAACCATAAAGTATTACTAAAACTGACTAAATTAAAAAAAAAACATACGAGCGAAATTTGTTTGATATGATGAAAAAAAAAACCCATATTTATTGATTTTAAGTACCAAACCATGAGTATTAGCATTAATGCCGTGACTATTAAAAAAAAACCAAAAAAAATATTCAACCAATAAGAATATTGGTTAGTATAATTGAAATCTTATAAGTTTTTGATAACCTCACATTTACGATATGATTGAAATGACACTCATGTAAACAAAACAAAAAAATAACAGTAATTAAGAGTATAGAAAAGAAAAAATTAATTTTTTTTGCGAAATTGAAAGAATGAAGAGTTGCAATAAATGAAAAATTGTTAAAACAAATAAAATCTTTCCTAAATCTTAAGATCTTTAATCACATTAAATATTTTTTTTTACTATTTATAGCTCAGCATAAAATTATTTCAAAACGCTGGAACTAAATTAGCTGGGTTCATTTGTACTCATTTATATACTTAGTTCAGTAAAATTTTCTACATACTTTTATCAACACTTTACCAAAAAATTTTCGAAAAAAATGCTTATTAGTTTCACACTGTCCGTCCGTCCGATCATCTGTGAAATTCTTTACAAAACTTCTACACCCTTGAAGTTAAGCTTAAATTTCATATGTATATAAGATCTTTGCTAGAAACTTATTATTAAAAAAATTTTTACCTATCTCCCGCTCTAAATGTTATGTAGGAATCCCATAACCCTAAAAAAGACAGTTTTTAACTATTTATATCAGCGAAATCATAACCATTTTTCAAATTTTGCAACCGGAGAAAAGACGTGGCTGGTTTCTTTTACCGCGGCACATCACTTTAAAACTTTAAAAAAAAACAAAATGGCCGTTAAATTTTACCGTTATCTAAAATCCGTTTTTTCGCTTTTCTTCTGGAGCAGCTTTTAGTATTTCACCTCTAACGCCATTAAGTTATCGCCCTTTGAAATTTTGAGTTTTTAGCTCCTTATATTCCAGAAACTACAAGCATTTCTAAATTTCTATAAATTTATAAATAAATCTAGAAAGGTAACGGTAAATGCCATGAAATTAAAAAATGTAATTATTTTTCCTTTAACTCTCCTTATATTTTTCTTTCTTTCCTTTCAAAGAAAGAAACATATGTTGCTCATCTTAAACGTATGCAATCTTTGAAATATATTCGTATATGAATGAAAGTAATTTTAATATTGTAATACAAAGACACCACAGATTGATTTCAATATAAGCAGTATTTTCACTTGTTGCGGAGAAAAGTGCTATATTACAAACCATTGTAGTGACCCAACTTTATTTTTATATTTCCCATTTTGTGTTATTGCTTTATTTGGCATTCTAAAAACAATAACAATAAAACGATTTTATTGCTCGGGTTTTTAATAATGAAAGTAAGCAATTTCATAAGAATTATAATTTCGTCATTTGGATTAAATTTTGTTTTTAACTATGCTATTTATTTGATGACAAATAAATTTGTACATAAGTAACCACAACAGTAATGTAATTTAGCATTTCACTGTACCGAAAACTACTTTTTTTTAATTAATTATAAAAACTAATGAGATAAGCGTTTTATTATCCAACGTAGTTATGTTGAGTTTACTGAAATTAATTAATTTGAAAATTATGAAGAATAGTTAATTTAATTTCAAGTTTGTTATTTATTAGTTTCGTAGAAACTCTTAAATGATTCTAATTTCACAATGATTAAATACATATTACGAAAAATGATGTTTTAAATTTTTTTTAAAAACACTTTCTCTGGTTTCGTTTCCAATGTTTATCGGCAACGTATCAAACATTTGTACACCCTTATACATTACAGAATTTCGCTTACTAGTCTTATGATATAATGTAAGTCTGAAATCTTCTGTATTTCTGAATCTGCTGTATTTTCCCCTACGTAGTCGATGTGCTTCTGCATGTATTTTGGTAATAGTAATTTTTTAACTTAAATGAGAAACTATTATACTAAATTCTGTTTCTAATGGTCATCCATTTTGAATTATTTATCATCGTACTAATATGTGTCCTTCTATCACAGTTGATTACAATTCTTTTTGACTATTTTGCAATATTTGCAGTCTGTTAAGTTTACTGTTGTTGCTTAAGGATTGATTCACAATATTCACAAAATGTGGTGATGTAATTGTATTGTATTTTTATTAATTGCACATTCTCTATAGTTCACATTTGTTTTGTTCTACTAAAAAACGATATCTTTTTTGAAATTTTTTTAAGGTTTAATTGTTTAATTTATTCTCCAAGATTTTTTATGTTTTTTCGCTTATTTACTCTGCAACTTTATTATTGTTTTGTTTCAATAAAAAGTTGTTTAATATTTACAATTTATGAGTACTTAAATATGAGTGGCTCAGAACCAGTGTGAGACAAAAAATAATTTTATTGTTTTTGTTTGTTATGTAAAATTTTATAGAATTTTAAAATTTATAGAATTTTAAATTTGTTTTCAAAATTTTTATGCTAAATATTAATATAAGGAGCAAAATCCCTTAAATTCTTTCTGTGTAGTTATTTGTTTTATAGATCCTCAAATGAGATCCCTTGAATAACGTTTTTATTCAACGAAATATAATAATAAAAATTTATCATTAAAATTTATTTCAAAATATTAATAATATTTTAATTTTAAATATATTTAGATTCCAGCGACAACAACACGCATTCTTTTACATCATTTTAAATGGGATAAAGAAAAATTAATGGAAAGATATTTTGATGATCAGGAAGGAAAATTGTTTAGTGAAGCTCATGTTATTAATCCTAACAAGAAACCTAATATAATAAATAAACCAAAGGTAAACATAATTATCATATTTTAATTTTTCATTTTTAATAATTGCATTAATTAATTTTAGTCAAGTGCAGGAGCTGAAGAATGTGAAATATGTTTTTCAAAGTTTCCATCAAGTGTAAGTAATTTGTTTTGTTAAAAATGTTGGTCTTAATTAATTTTAAATAATAAACAAATTATTTTAGTTGGTCTTAGACAAAATACTCATTATGATTTTATATTATAGAAGTTAATAAATTAAAATCTTTATGAGCTCGAATTAGAAATAGTATTAATTATGAATTTTTGAGAATTTTCCATATTTTTAGTTTTAAAAGTGCTAAATTTAAGTATGTAATTGTTCACTGAATTTGAGTATAACTCAATAGAATAAGTAATTAATTTTTGATTAAAAGGCGATTTTGTAAATTCACTTTCTTGGAATATAAAACTCTATCCTAAAATAACCTTTTAAGATACAGTTTTATAAGGGATGTTTTATATAGAAATATCTATATATTGTTAAAGAAATTGCAAAATAATATTTGTTACGATTTTTGTATATCCTAACAGAGCATTTTTAATAATCATTTTAAATAATTTAATTTAAAATTACTATAATGAAAAAAAAAAAGATTAATTTATTAAAAAAATATTTTATTTTTTAATTTTTAGTATATGACTGGCTTAGAATGTGGTCATAAATTCTGTACCCAATGTTATACAGAATATATTACTACAAAAATTATGGAAGAAGGGCTTGGGCAATCTATAGCTTGCGCAGCACATGGATGTGATATTTTAGTAGATGATGTAACAGTTATGAAACTTGTAACGGATCCAAAGGTTAAACTAAAATACCAACACCTAATAACTAACAGTTTTGTAGAAGTAAGTAAAATGCGCAGATGTGAGCGTCAACAGAAACTGCTCACAAAAATTTTTGCTTATTGGATGTTTATTGGATTGAATAGGTGAATAGGTTATGTTTGTATTCAATGCATATCAAAAATTAACTCAAGATTTTGTCTACAATATGTTCTATAAGTAGTAATTCTGAAAATCCAAAAATATACCAAAAGTAGTACGTAGCAGCGACATTATAGTTTTAAAGCCACAAATATAAGTTATTCTAGTCTTTTTTAAAAGATCTTGCTGAATTTAATAAAATATATTTGTATTGCTTAATAATTTTTAATTATAAAACAAACGACATTAGAAACAAGAATGATAACTAGTATTTGTTTTTTGAAAAATATCTGTCGTACTCTAAAATTTAAATTGTTGAAAAACGCTTTTCAATCGTTCTTCATCAATGAAACACAAATAGATGCAAGTTTTTTTTTATATTTCAATTAAAACAAGTGTAGTAAATGCAAAATAGTGTTTGTACAATATAAAATCATAGTAGATTAATTCAGCTATCGAATTTAATTCACTATTAGCTTTATTAACTAGCCTATAAATAGAAAAAAAGGTATTAAGAAGTAACGTATACAGACATTATTTTACCGAGCAGTTTCTTTAACGCATAACATAAGTATATGTATATGTTTGCAACAATATGAATATTTTAAAATATACCACCATTTATATTTTTAGTGTAACAGATTATTACGTTGGTGTCCATCAGTTGATTGCACATATGCCATTAAAGTTGCCTACGTGGATCCCCGTCCAGTGCGTTGTAAATGTGGCCACTATTTTTGCTTTGAATGTGGTGAAAATTGGCATGATCCAGTGCATTGTAGATTGTTAAAACGTTGGATAAAAAAATGTGATGATGATTCTGAAACATCTAATTGGATAGCAGCAAATACAAAGGAATGTCCTAAGTGTAATGTTACAATTGAAAAAGATGGTGGCTGTAATCATATGGTGTGTAAGAATCAAAATTGTAAATACGATTTTTGTTGGGTATGCTTGGGTTCATGGGAGCCACATGGCTCTTCATGGTATAATTGTAATCGCTATGATGAAGATGAGGCAAAAGCGGCTAGAGATGCTCAAGAAAAATTAAGATCATCATTAGCGAGGTATATTTCAATTTAATTTTTTATTTGCTTTCAAGTTTTCTTAGCGAAGTATGAGCTTCTTGATTTCTATTTTCTCTTTTTTTTCCAAAAATAATGAAAGTCGTAACAAAAAACAAATCTAGATTAGTTAGAGTAACTTTCTTGAAACTACTTCGATTAATTTTGCAAATCCTTGTTTACGGAAAAAATTTATCGGATACAGTTATTTGGCATAGCTGGTACAGTTCTAAAAGTTTCGTTTAGGAATTTTTGGAAATCAGTTTTGAGCGTTACATTTTCAGTCTTGAACGTCTTCTGTCCAACAAAAGCTCATATGTCGCAGATTTTGAATTGCCTCCGAGATTTGGAAAATAAACATGTTTTTAAGTGTTTTGTTATGTCTTATTTATATATAAATTTCAATTAATATATTTTAAGGTATTTGCATTATTACAATCGTTATATGAATCACATGCAATCACTTAAATTTGAAAATAAATTATATGCTTCTGTTAAATATAAAATGGAAGAAATGCAACAAATGCAAATGTCATGGATAGAGGTACATACATAAATATTTTTCATTAATTATATAATTTTTAAATAAAAATTTTTCTCATTGTTTTATTTCATATGTAGGTTCAATTTTTAAAGAAAGCCGTCGATATATTGTGTCAGTGTCGTCAAACTCTCATGTGCACCTATGTATTTGCATTTTATTTACGTAAAAATAATCAATCAATGATTTTTGAAGATAATCAAAAAGATTTAGAAACTGCTACAGAAAAATTATCAGAATATTTAGAAAGAGATATAACATCAGAAAATTTAGCTGATATAAAACAGAAAGTACAGGATAAATATAGGTAATAGTTTTGTTATATAAATATATAATAGCCTTAAATGATATTAAATACCTAATTTTAAAATCAAATTATTTAATATATTTTATTTTTAGATATTGTGAAAAACGCCGTAAAGTTTTATTAGATCATGTGCATGAAGGCTATGAACAAGATTGGTGGCTATATACAGAATGATAATTTTATAAATTAGAAAAACTGTTAATTATTATTAATATAAAGAAAATAATAAATATATATGTATATTTATAAAAATGCATATATATGTATAAATTTGCATATATATATATAATTGAAAACAAACATCCAAATTAGTTTTGACTTGGAATTAGAGTAAAAAAAATGAAAATAGATATGTTATCAATAAAATCTAGAGTATAAATTAAAAGTGAAATACTTAAGGGTCAATCGTGTTATATTACAATAATAATAAAAAAAAAAGAACACAAATAAACCAAGAAAAATTTATATATATTATGATATATAGAAAAACTACGACGTTATAAGGAAAAAAATAAAATTTTTATTCTAGTTACAAAAAATTTTTCTAATTTATCGACCCAAAAAAACAACTAGGCAGTGTAATATTAAAAAAAAACAATATAATTAAAATACAATAAAATTTAAAATAGAGATGCATATTTAAGAAAACAAAACTTTTTTTTTTTGTTGAAAAATTGAATTTGAATTGATGAAAATATTGAAAAAATTATTTAATGAGAAAAGAATGCAATGCAACTAAAATTATATACCATTATTGTTTTTCCTTCAGCAAAAAAAAAATAAAAAAATCAAATAAAAAAAAAACAAAAATAAAAGAGATTTGAAAAAATTACAACGATTTTTATTTAATATTTTGTATTTTTGGCATCTTAATATGGAAATTAAATACATGCAATGATGCACGTATCGCACCATCTTTTTGCTTCACAATTACTAATTTTATGAGCAAAATTTAAGAAAATTACGTGATGGTAAACTCGCATTGTTTTTTGTTCGTCGTTTCTATAGTTTTTAAAGTTTATTTAACTATGTATGTAAATAAAGAACTAAATACTTCTTTTCAAAATTCAAAATGTTTTTATTTTGGAGAAAATGCCCAAAAATGTTAATTTTTCACAACCATAAGCATCAGGATGGGAAAAGTATCACTTTCCCGAATCAATGCAAATAAATTTGCCATATTTCAAACATATTGATTACAAACATAGTGATATTTAGTTATTTCTCAAATTATATAATATTCTGATGAAATTAGGAATTAAATTTTTGTAAAGACTCAAGAGTAAGAGAAGAACTTAACATATTGGCATAAATTTCAAAACAACATTTATTACATTATATTTGCTAACACCTTACTTAATACTTAAACATTTTTTAGACATACGGTGGTTCGATTGATTTTGATTAGACGCATTTGATTTGATTAGAAGTTTTGTAGAATTATCGAGTGAAGGTTTTATTGAAAATACAACCTTGAATTTGAATATATGTATATTGAAAATATTTTGGCAATCGGCTCTCTGCGATAAAACACGTATTTTTATTAATTGATTAAAATTTAAAATTCGCAAAATATTAAGCAATGATTTCGAAATGTAGGTGTATCAAAAATGTGTAAGTAAAATGCATGTATGTATGTAGTAGACAGTTCCAAAACCTTTAGGAATTCATAGTTATTCAATGCACAAACCATACGAATTTTTAATTGCAAAAAATGTATTGCTTACTTATCAGTTTTCTGATAAATGCCAAAGTCAGCTGTAGGTCGAGTAGGGCAAGTTTTTGAGTTTGTGTGTGTATTTGCAATTTTCTTTTCGCTTTAGAAATAGGAATTCAACGCTAAAATTTATTTTTTATTTCTGATTTTACGAAATTTGAATAATTTTAACTTCACCTGTAATATGTGCATTTAGAAACAAAATTTTCAATTTTTTTTAATTTAAGTGTTTTTTAATACATATTTACTTGATTGTTATTTTAATCGAAATTTTTGTGAACGAATCACAACTTTTTTTTTAGGTTGAAAGGAAAAGATAATTTTCTTTTGAAACAATTATTTACATATAAACATACATATTTAAATAAAAATTAAGAATGTTCGCCAAAAATCATTCGTTAAAAAACATTTGTATCAATGCGCTACAATATTCAAAACGGGATATTTGCATAACATCAAAATTATCAGAATCAGAATCATGGTTAAGTAAATTCCGAAAAATTGAACCAACAAGCGAATCGCATAGTCGGATGCTTAGTGATAAAGAAACGATTTATTCGCTGTACACTCACAATGTTAAAGCTAATTCGATGTCAAAATATTTAACGAACTACAAAACTATTGTGGATTTAATTACCTCAAACGAAAACTTACAAAGTAACCTCATAGGATCTTGGACTGTGCAAGTTGGTGACATGGATCAGTGTCTTCATTTGTGGAAGCATACAGGAGGCTTTGAAAAAATTGACCAGTTAACCAATTTTCAGAGTGAAAGTAAAGATTATGAACGTTTAATGACGGAAGTTGGAAACAATTTAAGATCTCGACATTTGCAATACTTATTAGCTTTCAGTTATTGGCCACAAATTGATTTTAGAAATGGAAATAATATTTATGAAATTCGTTCCTATCGTCTTAAACCAGGCACAATGATTGAATGGGGTAATAACTGGGCAAGAGCAATTAATTTTAGAAAAAACAATGAAGAAGCTTTTGCCGGATTCTTTTCACAAATTGGCAGACTGTACAACGTTCACCATATTTGGTGTTACAAAAATTTACAGTCCCGTAAAGAAACACGTGAATCTGCATGGAGATCACCCGGTTGGGATCAATGTGTTGCATATACTGTACCATTGATTAGAGAAATGCATTGTCGTATATTGAAGCCTACTGAATTTTCGCCAACTCAATAATTACAGAAAGAATTTTATATACATACTTATAATTGAAAAGCTTCTCGATATATAAATATTATATTATTATATATACAAAAATGAAGTGCATTATTTGAAAGTGAAAATATATTTAAAATTTTCTACATGTCAAATTGGAATTTATTTAATATATAAGTGTAATGTATTTTGAATTTATCGTTTGTATATTATTCTATATCGTTATTATTCTTCTTTTTTACTTAACGTAGAAATCTAAATTACAATTATAAAAAAATATAATACCAATGTATATTGTTTGCCATTTATCCTGTATAAATATTATTTAAAATTTGTTTGTACATTTTATATTAGTTGAATTTGTAGAATTGAAAGCTGAATTGTACCTACTTTGAAGGATTAAATAAAATAAAAAAATCATTACGTTTTGTTCAAATAAAGTCTTTGATTTATCTTACAACAGTGGAGACTGTTACATTATTAAATTGCTTGTTTGTCAATAATGTAAAACTGATATTAATTTATTATTCTCATTGGAATTTGGGAAAATTTTACTGAAATCTATTTGACGTGAAAAACATTCTCAAATAATCATCTAATTCATTATAATTTACGGAATAGATATGCAGCTCTTATGATAATGAAAATCCTTTGACCATGTAAATTTAATTCCTTTATTTTAATTTATTATTCAAAATTATTTATATACGCTCGTATAATACTCTTCTTCTAAGTCATAAAGGTCCATTGCCATTTCATCACGCAACTGCATTAATTTCCTATCACATTCTGCTTGAGTTGATCTAAACAATTGAGAATTTGCTGTAATTGCTTCATTTACAGAATGAAAATCATTTAATATTAGATATTGTTTTATATCTGAAACTAATTTCATTAAAGACTCTCCTGCTCGTACTAAAAGGAATATTTATTTTTTTTAATTTAATGTAAAAGACCTGCAATCAACAAAAAAAAAATTACCTATATTTGCAGCACGTACTTGCATTTCATATGTATCTTGTTCACACTGTGTTATTTTAGATAATTGAGAATCACTTTCTGCTCTTGCCAGTTTGATAATTTCTTAAAATAATTTAACATTTTTCATTTAATTATTGTATAGCCATATTTTTTTAAAGAAAATGAAAAGCTAGGTAAGTACCTTCAAAGTTCTCTAGCATACTCTTAACATCTTCTTTTAATCGTAAATTGTAAGATTTTAAGAGGGCTTCTTTTGACTGCGGTAAGTTTCTTTGAGCCATGGAATTATTGATTGTTAATTAATTTCTTTTAATTATATCCTTATTTCTATTTTTGTTTATATTTTTTTGTTAAGCTTATATTGATGCACTACATGAAATGTTTTGATTTGACTGAATAAAATCGAAAAATAAAAACAAAAAACTGTCATTCCTTATTCAGCAAAATATCGAACGAACTGTCATTTTTTTCGCCGTATTTTTCAGTTTGTGTACAAAGCGTGTTCAAATGGTATGCATAAGTATATTCAAGGTTTCATTCGTTATGTATTGATTTCACCTGGGAAAATGATTTTCTGATTTTCATTTTCACTAGTGTTAGATTTATTCATGCATATATGAAATATATTTTCTTATGTTAATTATTATAATTTCTTTATACACAGTAAAATTAATTTATTGAAACAAATTACGCCCAAAATGAGTTTGGTGTACATTTACATTATCAGTCTAATAGTGTAAGTCGCTTTTTTACACACTTTTTATTCACTTGCAAATCAGAATTCTTTACTTTTCTTGAATGAATATTCCATTTTTCCAATAAGATTACTCATTTTTTCAAATGGTTTTTTTTAATTCTTTCTCAAATTATTAAGTGAACGTCTCGATTTCAAAAACATAGTGAAAAATTTTTGTATAGATATTAGAAAAAAACGAGACACACAATACAGAATAATTTTTCTCACTCGAAAATTACATTTTACAAATAAATCATAGTTAGTCACTTTCTTCTCACAAATAAAATAGCGGGATAGACGATTAGGCTCTATATGTAGGTTTACTAAGGTGTAGGTAGGAAGATTGAGTGTCCTTGATCCCATAAGCTTGCATTTGTGTGAAATTTTTAAAGTGCATTAGAGAAGAAAAGTTTTTACATGAATGTATGTATTTACGCAAGTACTCGTATATTAAATAAAATTTTGTTTATTGAATAAAATATATGTAAATATGTACATGATTTAATATGCTGTTGCATAAAGTGAATAATGATTTATTGGCGAATGGTACGAGAATAAAAGACGTAATAAAAGACGATAATAATCCTTTTGCCAATTGCTTTCACGATTAGTTTTAAATTTAACACAATTTAAATAAATACATACATACATAGGTTTTTCTTGTAATCACATATTTTTATAAGTACGTTACATGTATTTACATACTTATGTATTTAAAACATTTTTGATACGTATTACATTGATGAATCCGTAATTTGTATTAACAGTATAAAGATCAAACATTTAATTGTAATAATACATTTAAGAAAATATTAAAATATAACTGGTAAGTATGTGTATATAAATAGTTATCACAGTATATACATAAATACTTATATAAATCTAAATATACTCGCAACACACGTTCTTTTGATTGAGTTATTTATATATGTATGTATGTACAATAATTGTTTCAGTGATATTGTTTTAGATAACTTACATTTAATAAAACTTTATTAATTTATGAAAATTAAAAATGAATTAATTGGTTTTGTTACAACCGAATGAATTCCTATGATCTTTAGTTTAAATATTAATAGCTTTATTTTAAAATTTTATTATAGTATTTGAAATACATTAGGAAAGTTTATACATTCAAAAAAGCAAAAAAAAAAAAGGAAATGAAAATTTTAAAAAGCAATTTAATTTTAATTGGAATTTCTTTGATATTCCAAATCAGGATTATTGAAACTGCAGTAATTTTATTTTTTAGAATTTAATCCTACAAAGCTATACATATGTATGTGAAAATAAATTTTCTAATTTTCTAGAAACGTAATACTTTTGTAGCAACAAAACTTATATGTCAAAGTAATCCCAGTATTGTTTCAAGTTATTCATGTTCGATTGATGTTGTAACCCGTCGAAAAAAAGTAATAAATTTATGGTGCAATTTTACACAACCAATTAAAGCATTTTATGTAAGGAAATTTAAATTAAAAAAATAGTGAATTTATTTATCACCTTATAGATTGATGCAAGATTATTTAAACGTTATAATGGATGGCAACCACATTGGATTAAATTAAAATTTAATTTTTGTGACTTTTTAAGGGGGGCTAAAGTAAATCCACTTATAAAAATGTTTGCTCCAATATTTGAGAAATATACAAATATGAATCATCCGTGTCCTTATGATGTAAGATATTTTAATAAAATTTTTACATAGCCATTAATTCTAGAGAGCTAGCAGAATTTAAATCTCATTTAGCTACATATCAATTTGGATAATGATAGATTATTAGTTTTGCAATATTCTAATAATTTTATTCAAAAATAATTTTAATTTGATTTTGTTTTTTTATTCTTTCAATTTTTAATATATGTAGCATCCACTATATCTACGTAATTTGGATCCAAGTGAAAGTGATTTTATTGAGACTCATGGTACTTTGATTGACAGTGGTCGTTATAAATTAGATTTACATGCGAGTACAACAAATTCAACAAAATTAGGTTTTATAAGCTTTCAAGGGGAAATCAAAGAAATATAAAATTGTAAATACATAATATGCGTTTGCCAAATAAATTGGCCATGCATGTTTTTAAAAATAATGCAAAAAATTTTTATTACATTGTACATATGTATACCCATAAATAAATTTAATTATAAAAATTTATTTATTTCGGTATAATAAAATGTTAATTTCACCTCAAAATGTTATAATTGTTTTATTATTTTATTATCTGATAATTATAATTATAAATTCAAAAAATTTATGAGGTGAGTAAATATTCTTACATTGAATTAAACCAAATTGGTGAAAAAAATATTTAGGGGAGAGTGGGGATATGATGAGTATATTTTATTATCGACCGCATTGTGTATGGGATGGCAACAAATTTTGGATGTCGAGTTTTCGGTGGGAACGTAATTCTCCACAGTAAGAACACATAAATAAAGTATTTTTAGTGAGGCGTCGGTCGGTCTGTTGGTCTGTTTGTCTTTGTTTATCTTTTTTGAGATATACGCGTGCACAGACAGTGCACGCGTATATCTCAAGTTCGGCTGTCTGTCACGGATTGATCAACTTTTGAGATATATCAGAGCTCGAGAACTGGATCTTTTAGCGGCCCGTTTTACATTTTTGTTTATTTTGAAGAAAATATTCAATAGGTTTACTTTAAATTCCATATATAAGCTTCATCCGTCCGTCCGCATTGCGGCCGGTTATGTGCTGACCAGATCAGATTTTTTTATGTCATTAGAACGTGAAAAACTTATCATTTTTTTAAGTAAAAATATTTTAATTTTAATAAAAAATTAGTCCTAGAGATAAACGTGAACTTTTAAAAAGAAAGAAAAAAAAAACAAAAGTTTTGTTGCACGTTTTTTGATAATATAAAAGCAAAGGTTTTAAAATATGAAAAGTCTAAGAATTTTAAACACGTACCGCAAACATAACAATCTTATACATCAAACTCAAGATTATAAGTGAAAACGCAAGATAGCTGTTTTGGAATCCTGGTTACTAATGGGTTAATGATATGGGATAAAGTGTTCTACAAATTTCCCTAGTCTATGACATCTTATTGCTAAAGTTATATTTTATTTACAATGTTATTGACTATTTTAAAATTTCTCGTATTAAAGTTAAAGATATTTACGAGTATAAAAGCATTTGGACAAAAAAAAGTTTCATCTAAAAAATTAGTTGAATTTAAACAAAAATCTGGTTTCAATTGAACAAAAAATTATTTCAATCAAATAAACTTCGTCTATCCTTTTTGACTCTTATTATACTGCCCACTCTCTGCCTATTTTGAAAATTTGAACCTTATGTGGTAACACTAGAATTAGACTACCAATAATTACATTTATGCAAAATTATTGAAAATTAAGTCATTATAAAAAAATTTTGCCTAATTATTTTTTATAATAATAAGTAAGCACTCTTGCTTATTTTTGCAAAATTTATATTTTATTAAATTCAGTACACATTTGCGAATTCTATGAATTTTAAGTATAATTTTAATTATATCGCGCACCACATTAACAAATAAGTTTTTATTTAAATAGATGTTATTTTTATTTAAATAGATGTTTTGTACAATAAAAGATGAAATTTTTCCAGAGCTCATTTTTTATCACTATAATATGCATTTTGTTGAATGAAATACAGGCATGGATAGGTCGAATTGTTCAATTCCGAAAGGGGAATCTATAAAATTTGATTACTTTCCTTTGTGTACATATTTACGAAAGTAACGTTATATCTGTAACTTGATTGGAATGTAATATTAATTCAGAATATTTTTTTCAAAATTGTATGAGTAAAATTAGACCATTATAATGCCAAAAAAAAAATTAACATGAGTGTCGAATTAATTATATCTATTTGGAATTTATATGAAAGTATAAAATTTTCGATTAATTTTGATTATAAAGGATATATGTATGTGTGTAAAATATTGAAGAATTTATTTTAGGAAAATTCAAAATTATATAAAAGTTTAAATGGCTGGCAATCCTATATTCTTAATTTTCTAAGTGATCTTTGTGAACCTTTTAAGAATGGAAAAGGAAATTAGGCACTTAAATACATCGGAATACTTAAATACTTAAATACTTAACCATGGAAATCATGGGTTAAACTATTTATATGAAATTGTGCATGCCCTTTTAATGTAAAGGTCATTTTCATTTTATGTATTTGGTTAGACCGCTGACTTCAAATTTTTAGTAACATATAGTAATAATACAAAATTCATTCTATGCCTGCAAGAAAATTTTTTTATTTTGCTGCAATCGGTTATGTACAGCTTCTAATAGCAGTAATATTAGTTTCCAGTTTCGAAATAGTTTTTTCCTATTTGTTTTTCACAAAAGTACTTTTGCTTTCGCAATAATTTTCTGATTTTGTAAAAATTTTCTGATTTTTCTTACGCCACTCTGCTTTTGAGCTCCTCATATTATATACGATTCAACTGCGTTATTTAGATAAAATAATAAAATTAGTCGCAGTCAGTGTTACAATTCTGATAAGCGGTTATGACGAGTTAAGAGTCATATTACGACATATAACGAAATAAAATATTTTTTGGCAAAATAACTTTACAACTAGCTATCAAAGAAAAGGAATAATATGTGCAAGTATATAAATAAAACATGTCATGTACAATATATAAAAGAAAAGGAGAATATTTTATGTATATAGGTATATAGATAAGTAAATTCAGAATTAAGAAATTTTACATTCAAATACAAAAGAATTTAATATAAAGTAATAAAATGATCAAATTAAAACAAGCACATTTTATTTGTTTTAATCGAAGGTATACAAATCTGTTGCCGAACACTACTGTTCTGAAAAGATTTTTTTTACACCAAACTACAAAAATTTTTGTATTAATTAAGATATGTAATATTCAAGTATGCGCAGAACTTTCAAATTAACGACATTATAGTAGATTTTTGCTATACGATAAATATGTGAACAAATACGTGAATTTATCTGATTTGAAAATTTTTAGCTAAATTATATAATTTATATAATTTATTTTTTTTTTTTTAAATTTCAACGATAGATTAAACTAGAGCTTTGTATATAGAAGAACTGTTTCCATAATTTAAAATCAATTATAATTATATATCAAAAATTTAGACAGCATTCTTATAGGCTGCCCGAGTAAAACGATTGATGCTTTATAATGTCTATGCTCATAATGCACATATAAATGTACATAACATATTTTGTTCAACGTTTTGACGAACAGTGATGTGAGATGGTTGGTTGGCTAAATAGTTGATGTTAGGGGTGGGAAGAGACGCATTTTCCTTAGCACAAGTGTGCCGTTTTGATACCACCACATCGATTTGGCACGAATACACCGCCAACGACTGTCTGATTGCAAAGCAAAGCACTTAAGCTTGCTCGGATTGCCTAATGAAAGCTATCTGGTTTCGCTTAAAGCTTGCACAGATGATGAAAAAGGTTTTTTTTTCGTCCATCTGTCGGCAAATCCCATGTGCCTGAATCAAAAGTACTTGAAGAAGCGTATTCAACCAATATTAGCAGCCTTTTGAATTCTGTCAGTCTTATTACAGTTGTATGCCTTCCCTATTGCCGAACATAAAGTGCTCAATAGAGACTTTTTGGTGATATACAGAAAAATGAGCAGTTGAAAGAACTAGGTAAAGATCGGTAAAGATTATAGTCAAAACTGTTGTGTGCAGCTGCGTAACCATGCTGGATTTAATCGTCACAGCTTCCAAACCTTGTTTCTCCAAAAGCATGGAAACAGCTAAGCACAAAATCCAAATACTTAATTAAATTCAAAAACAGTGTTATCAATAAATACGTACCTTATAGTAACGGGGAAACATATAGGTACGTTTTTTTGTTCTGTAGAAAAAATTATTAAATCATTAACAAAAATATTATTCAAAAAAACTCTCACACACAACATTACTGTAAAATATTTATAGGAATAAAGTTTATTTTATAAAAGCATTGGCAATAATGATCTTATCATAGCTAATTATAATTACACATAATGTTATATATACCAGGGAAGAACTAAGAGTGTTTATTATTCAAAAAGTGCCAAAAAATTGTAGTCAGTTTTGAAATGCTATTATTGCTTTGTGGATTACTTAGTACTTTGATATTTTTTAAAAATTGAAAATATTTATATACATATAAAAGAAAACTCAATAAGAACAAGCGAAGGAGATGAAATTTGTTAGCATAATAGTATTTATTGTTGTATCACAAGTCTTACTGGTTGAAATTCTAGCTTGGGTAAGTAAAATTTTTAAACATGTTTTGGGTTGTTGTTGAATATTTTCTGTTTCAGGAAAAAAATATTTTTGAACCAACTCGATTAGAGTGTATACGGAATCCAGAAAGGATTTCTAATTGCACAGGACTTATTAAACACGAGTCACGAAACAAGAAAGTTATATCTTTTCAAGTTGATTTAGTGAAACCAATTAATGCTGCATTTGTAAGAAAAATTTTCTCTTTTTATTAATTTTAATAAAATTTATAACATTTTATTAAATAATTTTTGTTCACGAATAGCAAAACATGCTAGTCTCTACTTAAAAGACCAAAAAACCTGGTTCAAATTTCAAATCAAATTAGCGAAAATAAATTGTTATTGTAAACTCGTGATATTTATGATTTAAAATTGTTCGACTTTTTTCATTATCTACATAATGTAGCCATTCTATCCGGCATTGAAACAATTTAAATTATATAAGTTACAATAATTTTTAATTCATAACAGGATTTACGTATATAAAACTGCGATTCATTTACAAGCTTCTCCCAATTGTTCGGAAGTATTTCTGGAAAAGAAACGTATTATAATATGTTAAAGCTGTATAAAACTTCCAACTACTCTCAGTTTCTATAAAAAGGAGAAGATCAGGATAGTAGTTCTGCATATTCTGCATATTTTAACCAGGGTTGTTCCACATTTTTTACGTGAAAAATGACGTGAACTTTTCCTTATATTAATTAATAGTTATTAGTTACTTTGCATAAATTATGTTATCCCTGTAAAAGGAGTACATCAAATGCATAATTGTAAATATTGAGAGTTCTATTCTATTGAAATAATTAATTTGTTAATTTGAAATTAAAAAATATAAGTATAGTGTTTAGAAAATAAAAATTAAAAATTGATAAATAAAATATTCTCGAGTTGGTGCAGCATATAAATTGTAAATTAATAAATTTATTAATTTAACTGTACTTTTAGTTAACTGTACAATTATACAAACGTTTTAATGGTTGGCAACCATACATGGTGAATTTTACAAGCAACTTTTGCGAATTCATGAAAAGTGGAAAAGCAAATTATGTTGTGAAACTTATGGCACCAATATTTTTTGAGCATAGCAACGTTAATCATTCATGTCCCTATAATGTAAAAAATAATCATTTTTATATATTGTTATGTATAATAATGTAATTTTTTTTTATATTAATTAAATTTAGCACACACTTATATGGCATGATATTGATTTTAATACAATTAACTTTCCAGCTATTAAAAATTCAATTCTTCCAGGCGGTTACTATAAAATTCAATTAATACTGCGTGAGTCTAAAGATGAATGGTTATATACGACAATCTTCAGATAATTATTAAAGAAAAAGATTAATTTTTTGTAAATGTTATTGATAAATTTTCTAAATTTAATAAAAATTTTTCGAAAACAGGGTTTTATCAATTATTTGAGAGTTTTAAAATTTTGTTTGAGTGGTATAGGTATTTATGTAGTCACATAAGTTTTTCGAATAAGGACGTAAGCTGTACGGAGTGTTTGTTTATTTGACAATGATTTTATAAAAATTTTTAAAGAAAGTATAATAAATTTTCTTATATTAATCAATATTAATGTCTATTAATATTGCCAACATCTTACTGAAGTATAAATGGTAAGTTACACGCGAAATATTTTCATATCGTTTTTGAACTTTTGATGAATTTTGATAAAAACAAACGGATTGTCCCTACTGGTGCATTAGAGGTAATGATTGATTTGCCACCACTGCACCTCCATATAATGAAGGAAGCTCGACTAATGACTTAACGACTTCTTTGTGGCAAAGATGAAGGTTGGCACGCGTATATATGTGTGCCTGGACCAATATTGCACAGTGTTTCAGACTAAAATACATGTAATAGAAAATTGTTTCAGATATAATTTAGAACGGGAATATAAAAACCATTTATGTATTCTCATACAGCAGCACCTCAGTCGGTCCAGGCCACATCCAAGCTACTTTCCTTAACTTGTGGAATTGGCATCGGTAAACGGAGTTACGCTTATTTGGATGCCTGGTAACAATGGATATGGGGGCAACGAGGTTGTCGATGGGCTGTCGCGGCAACGATCTGGGGCTTACTTCGTTCAGCCGCTGTCTTTCAGTGGTCTGCCTTCTTCCGCCGTGGAGACTAGGCTTGCCTACCTATTCGAGACGGAGTGCGACCTTCAGAGTGAATGACTTTCACAGAATGCCAGTGAAGTATTGCCTGCATAGGCTGAGAAAATCGAATTCATCCCTGTGCAGATTTCTGTGTCCTGGTGATTTCCCTGTGTGACTGCTCGGTACTGGCTGTCCGGTATCGCAATTGTTTTCTAAGCGATCGGGGGGAACCGCTGTTTAACTTACTTAAGGATATCTCCGGTTTTATACTTGAAACGGCGATATTATAGGTATAATCAAAGTATATACAAGTTACGAATTTTGTGTCAAAATTCGTTTAAAAAAAATAATTTTATTTCGATTTTAAAATTACTTTTATAATACGTTTTATTTCTTTAAGATTACTTTTACAATACGTTTTATTTCACAACACTAGGTTAAAATTTAATATAACTTTACAATTAAATTTTAAGACTATTCTAAGACTTTAATGCTTAGTTCAATTAATGTCTAAGACTATCTAAGACTAAATTCTTAATCTAAATGTTACCTAATTTATAGTATAAAATTTGCTTATTTAGCAAATTTAATTTTATGTTATTTTCCTAACTAAAAATTTCTCACAGTACAGCGTAGACATGTCGTCAGCACTTTTTGTGGGAACATATTTTTGCGTTAAGAAATTCTCATGCTGAAATATGATGTTTGCTGGAAACGTATTTGAACATGTTTTAATATTAATATTCAGCGTAGAAGAATTCTCACGATAAAATATGTCTGATGAAACATGTTTGAACTTGTTTTAACATGCCCGCTATTTGATCCCTCGTTAACTCTTCCCCCTCTAAAGATCTACGTCCCGTAGATCAACGTTGAGTTTGGTAAGATTAGTAGCTAAGTCCTTAGGGGTGATCTCTGCTACGAATGTCCTTTCTGTTTGTGTCTTTTTCTTCTTGAAAATTATTATCGCTATTATAATTAGAACTACCGCAATGGTGATAACTGAGTTGATTGATGTTGTGATATTGTTTGACGTGGCTAGTTGCTGCACCTTTCTTATATTGTTCTGTTGTAAATCATGAAGATACTCCAAATTGAGTTTCCTATTTGCCTGGGTTAGATTTGTTTGAAGGAACGCTGGTAGTACCTCTGGAGATCTTACTTCGTTGTTGGTGAACGTAAGTCCCTTAATGCGTATAGTATCGTTGGAATATTGTAGGAGAAAACTTCCTGAGAGCTTCCTTGCAGTAGAGGTGGTTATAACATCTCCATGGAAATTGGATAAGAAGATCATATTCTTGGTAATTTCCTCTATTATTTCTTTCCCATTGTATTGAAAATCACATCTTGCATTAAATCCCCTGATGAGTTGCGTTACGCAATGTCCGGGTTGCAACGCTGTCAGTCTGTTTTTCTTGCAAATGGTAACATCATTAAAGTTTTCACACTTGCCTATTACGCCATAGATTTCCTCGTTAACGAGCAGTTCTTCGTACTCTAGATATACCTGACTCTCGTTTCTAATAGTTGGTTTGATCAAAATATGGTCGTATAAACGCTCGTCTGCTTTTGGTAGTGAAATTACGTAAAGGATTGTAAGACCATTAGTTATTACTTTTGGTTCAGCGTATTCGATTGCTTCAATGTCGTTAGAATATGGTAGAGTGTTAACCTCCTTCAGTATGTTAAGAATTTCATCACTACTCAGCAAGTTTGTATTGACGATTTTTTGCTTCGCGAGTTCAATTGCAAGGATGATTTCGTTAATAGCTTCCTTGATGATTACAAGCTTGTTAAATACCATCTGTTCGAATCTATGATCATTGGTATTGCCCAGTTGTTTTAGTATCTTATTGTACCGTTCCATGAGTTTGTTTGTCACTGACATTATTTCACTGTTTATTCTGTACTGTTGGTTGCTATTATAGGTCAGCTGATTCTGGTTTTGGAGTATAGTTTCCCAGTCAGTGGCGTCTGGTGTGCCTGCTAACCATTTCCAGGCTGTTCCAATCCAATTGATGGATCTCCGAGATCTTTTAGTTCCTCGAATTCTGGCTATAGATTCCATTATCTGGTCAACTTGATATTGCAGCTGTGGCTTGATGGTGCTAGAATCATTGACGTTATTCACCAATGGTATTAATTCTCGCAATATTTCATCGTAATTTTTGAGGTTTATTGTGTGGATCAGGTTAAAACTTCCATTTAGTATGCGGGCTTCTCCCAATTTAAGTGTGGCTATTGTGTCTGTAACCTCGAAAATTTTGAGTGAGGCTGCCGTCATATAACATCTGAAATAAAAAAGGTTTTAGTTAGGGGTGTTTTTGATGTGGGATTTATGAATCCGTTTTCCCGATATTGTAGTGATGGTAGCTTTGTTGTTTTTCAACACTGTTTCTTTTCTGTATATAGGTTTATGCTTAGATTTTATCTGTTTATCTTTTACATAGATCATTTGACCCTTTTTGTAGTCAGTGGGTTCATTTCTTTTTTTGTTCTCCCGATTGAGCTTTATTTGCTGCGAGCGTTGGATTTGCTGCGTAAGATCGCTATGTATTTTTTCTCTGATATTGAGTAAATTCTGATAGTTGACGCGAGAAGTTCTTCCGTAGAATATATCGGCAGGTTTCTTCTTTGTTACTGAGTGGTATGTGTTGTTGTATCGATCTACTGCAATTGTAATTAGCTCCTTATGTGACAGTTGGGGATGCTCTTTTCGTAGACACCTAATGATTTCCAAAATCGTTGAGTGAGCTCTTTCAATAGTTCCATTTACTTCACTCTTCTGAGATGGGGTATTGTACATTTTTATTCCTAGTGCCTTGATGTAAGTTGACACAATAGGACTGATTATTCCGCCTTCATTATCTGTGACAATTATTTCCGGTACGGTGAAATAATGAAGTACCTTTGTGAGTTTGTCTCTGAGATGTAATGCTGATTTATCTTTAATTCCAAAGAATTTGACAAACTTGGAGAATTTGTCTATACAAGTGATATACTTTTCACCCTGTATTTCCATTATGTCTAAATGAAGTATCTGCGTAGGATACTCAGGAATGGGCGTGGGTTGAAGCTGTGGGCGGAGTGGATGTCTATCATATTTATTACAGTTGCATATTTCACACACCTTGATATACTCCCTGATGAGTCTGTTCATGGAAGGGAAGTAATATTTTTCCATTATCTGTTCCCGGTTTTCTACAGAACTCCTATGTGCTCTTTTGTGTTCTTTTTCAATTATGTTGAGCTGTCTTTCTTCGTTCGCGACATCTTCTACCATTCTTTGTGTAATTCTAATCTTAAAATTACTGAAGCATTCCTTGTAAATTTCATTAAGCATACTTAGATATTCTTCGGGTATCTTGATCCCATTAATAATGGTAGGATTGAGCCTTTGTTTCAGCGCAGTTATGAGTTCCTGGCGTGTTATGTTTGGCATTCCAATGGTGAATCTTCGATATCCTGGATGAGGTTCCTCATAGGCTGTGATATCTTTGCTGCGTTTGATGATTATTTGAGTTTTAAAGACGTTAATCGGAGCTTCGCAATGTGGAATAAGATCACTACTGTCTTCGTCACAACTATGGGCTGTCTCTGTGGAGCTAGTTGATAGTGAATTGATTTCAGTCGGCAGCCTTGATAGAGCGTCGGCCACTACATTGGTCTTACCAGGCCGGTAGACTAGCTCGTGATTATATTCTTCAATTCGAGCTTTCCATCTTTTGAGCTTCGCATTGTAATTGCGGTTGCCTAGAGCAAATGTGAGAGGCTGATGGTCCGTCAGTATTTTGATTTTTCTTGCCCCATACAGATAGTTGCGCAGGTTATCAAGTGCCCATACGATGGCTAGCATCTCCTTCTCATTAGTAGCGTAGCCTTCTTCTGTCTTGTTTAACGATCTAGAGATGTACGTAATAGGCCTATCCTTTCCTATCTCGCCTTGAGATAAGACAGCACCAATCGCTTGATTCGACGCATCTGTGGTCAGTATAAATGTGCTCTCGAAATCCGGAAAGATGAGAACTTCAGATGACATTAGTAGCTTTTTCAAATTATCAAATGCTTTTAGTTCTGCTTGGTTTAGTTTTACTATCACCCGTTTGGACTGATTGGCTTTTATTTGCGCATTGTTACCTCTTGTCAAGTTCGTTAGAGGTTTTGCAATTTTGGCAAAATCTTTGATGAATCGCCTGTAGTAAGATGTTAGTCCTAGGAATGACTTGAGTTCTTTAAGATTTGTTGGTGGTTTAATTTGTCTGATGGCTTCGACCTTTTTGGGATCCGGTTTTATTCCTTCGTGAGTAATCAGGTGTCCCAAAAATTCCACTTCTGTCTTGAAAAAATGGGTTTTTTCC